AGTGTAACAAAGGACAGAGTGGCACTGGGGTCTAACAATTCATATACATCAATAGAAAAGATTGTAACATACCAGTCACAACATCCGGGGAGCTCTCTTGGTCACCTCGGGATTGAAGAGCATAAAAGCAGTTTTTCTTGGGAGCATCGGAATTTGAACCACTAGGATGGACTTGCTTGTCCTCTCCTCCTTGAGCTTTAGCATGGGACAATCTCTCATCACATGACCGCTCTTCCCACAACTATAGCAAACACCCGTGCCGGCAAGACATTTACCATCATTTTTCTTACCACATTTATCAGATGAAGGTCTCACCGTAGAAGTTCCACCACTATTGCCTCATTGACTCTTAAGATTAGACACCCTATCTTTGTTGACCCTTGGAGCACTACAGGAACCTTGGTTGGATTACCTTCTCTTGAACCTTGGTTGTCCTTGACACTCGAATTTACCTTTGGAAGAATTTCCATCATCGGTCCTAGGTCTGTTAACTTCCCTATTCTTGTCTTGGAGTTTCTCATCCTCCATTTGTTTAACATACACCATAAGACTGGATATATCCTTGTTATCATGAAGCATAGCCGAACGACATTCTTTTCTTACCAAAGTAGACACCTCCCTCACAAACATATTCATCTCATCCGTAGGATCCGCCACCATAGATGCAACATACTTAGACAATTCGGTAAACTTTAGAAAATATTCTTCCATACCCATACCTCCTTGACGAAGGTTGATAAATTCTTCCACCTTGGCTTCCCTCTTCTCTCGGGGAAAGAACCTATCAAGGAATGCTTTCTTGAACACTTCCCAACCTATGGGACCCGCTTCTTCTGGCCTATTCCTCTTCAATTGAGTATACCATACTTGGGCCACCCCATCAATTGATAAGTGGCTAGCTCCGCTTTCTCAATAGAAATCACCCCCATAGCATCAAATACCTTCTAAACCTCTTCCACAAACTCTTGAGGATCTTCTCCCACTTTGGAACCAAAGAACATAAGAGGGCTCATTCTTGTGAAGTCTCTCAACCTTGAATCCATGGTGCCCAACATCCCTGTTGACTTGGGTCGTAATGGCTTGGGTCAATACTTGGAGAGCCGACCTTATTTCCACATGTGTCATAGCCCCCTCATCACTATGAGCTTGAGGAACTTGAGGCTCTTGAGGACCTTGGGGAGGAACTCCCTCATTCACATTCTCCTCTTCCATCATTATTTCGGTCTCCCTTCTTGTATTCATATCCTATAGACACAAGAGAAGGGTTAGGAAAAGGACTTCATTAGAGTTAAAACTCTAAGGCACGACTAAAGAGTAATGAAAGAACTGAAATTTCCTAAACATCTTATATCCTCTCATTCTTAAATGTGGCGTGCTTCACATTCATGAACAAGACTCTACTAGATATTGCTTATGATACATTATCCTAGAATCATTCTAAACCTTATGCTCTGATTACCAAGTTTGTCAAGACCCAGGGGTACCCCTAGATGTAACACGGGGTACTTGACCCCAAATGGGTCTCATACAAGCCCTTAGCATATCATAAACATAAGTAATAGAAATGATACGGAATTAAAACTTTATACAACAAAGTCTTTTCATAAAATCGAAATAGAAGTCTAGACATTGTCTCCATAAGCCATCTAATACAATCGAGAATCAATAGGGTTACAACCCTTTACAATAAAGTCTCAAAGTAGAACATATGAAAGGAAACTAGAAAGAATAACTCTTGTCCTCAAACCATGAGGACTCACCAAGGCAAGGAGAGAATCAATCCAAGCCTTCAACCAAAGAGAAGCAACCTCAACAACCGGGACCTACACTTATAGAAAAATGTAGAAAATATGGGTTAGCACAAAAATGTACCAAGTATGCAAGACGTGCATAAAAATCCATAAAACATGCAAAAATGGAAATTTTAGTTGAAACCATGCACTTTAACATTTTTAAGAGTCATCATGCACCATAGTGTAAATGCACAAGCCAAACCAACTCATAAGCAACCCTAAGCCATACTTGTGCAATGCATAGAAAAGATCCCATAATCCTATCTAAGGCTAAGTATCACTTTTAGGCCACAATGATCATACATTTCATAACTTGTCCTCATCCATAACCAATACTCATAAACATGGAATCATTCATGTTAATTAACTTGAAACAAGGAAATCCACTCATAGCAACAATCCATATCATACATGCATAATCCATATATCTTCATAGCATGAGAAAAGTACACTATAACCCCTTTCCAAAGCCTACTTGTGCAATGCATAAGTGAAGTCCTACACCTCCACTCACACTAAGAAGAACTCCTTGAGAAGACATAAGTATAGTTCATGTTCGTGTTCTTGTCATATTCATATTCTTTTCATGTAGAGAAGTATAGCCTTAACCAACATAGACCATGTGAGCTACATAGAATCCGACGTCTTGCTCCCACACCGAAAAGAGGTGTCCTACTTGCGTAAGGTAGAACTCATGTATTAGCTTCTAGGTAGATCCACTAGCTAAAGACCTATGTGGGCACATAGTTATGGGATAGGGAGATTGGTACTAGAAACTCGGACTATTAACGTGAAGGTTTCCATCTCATGAGATAACTATCTTGGGAACCCGGACTTACTAGCATGAAGGAACCCATCTCATATTACTATCCACTCGGTGCCAAGCATAATTCCCTATAAATTCATGTTAAGTCTTTACTTAAGTTCATGCTCGTGAAAGAATACCATAGCACTCAAACCAACATGGTATCATGATAGCTCATAGATTCATTAGGTGAGAATGACCCTTCAACCTTAGAATCATTACTATGTGAGTAAACCTTTCACATCATGTTCATAGTGTGTTCATGAGAATAGCCTCTCAATCAACAAAACAAAATTATCATATTCATAGACATTTCATGAACAGTAATGTGTAAGGGTATGGGGAGAATGATCTTTCAACAACACCACAGTTACACAATAGTCATAGGATCTTCACTTTCTAAGTGAATCATAAGTTCATACACAATTCTCAGTAACATGTACAAACCCTCATAATTTACCCTTAAAGGCTATGAATCAACTCAACCCAAACATCTAGAATTTCTACATTAGATAGGGTAATATAATGATTCAATAACTCAATCAATATACACATAATCAATTGGCATGCTTCTATAATCAATCAACCCACATCATGAATTCACAATTTTCCAATATGGGGGATTCATGGGTTCTTAGGGATTTTTATAATGAATCAACAATTAACCATCAATTAAACCATAGTCCACCATAATCAACCATAAATCAACAATTGAAAATGTTTTGAAAGAGAACCCATGACTTAGATTGAAACCCTAGGTTTTGGAGAAATTGGGAGCTTTGAAATCAAGTTTTGAAAGGACTCTATGGGTGAAAGCTACCCATAGATGAAAAGTCACTATACCTTGATTAAGACTCTCCTAGAAATTTGAGGAAGCAACCTTAAATTCTCCAAACCTTAGCTCCAATTCCACCTTTCTTCTTCTTTAAGTTTAGAGAGAGAGATATTGTGAGGAAGATGAAGTTCTTGGGTTTTCTTTTTGATTCTATGAGAATGACTTAATTGGGGGAAATTTGAGTCTAAAAAGCTTATATACTTACTAGGAAAAGAGTAAAATAATGTGGGTTCAATATTTGGAAAGCTAACTAAAGACCCACTACAAGAAATATGATTTATTGTGACGACTTTTAGTGGCGATACTTAAAGTTGCCACAAAAGTTGGAGCTTTTGTAGCGACTTGTAAAGGTTGCCACAAAAGGAGGTAGCTTTAGGGGCGAGCCTTAGAATTGCTACGGAAAATTATATAGCCAGTGGCGACTATGTTTAGGTCGCCACAAATATGCACTGAATTTCTTCATAAAATTTCTTATAGTGGTGACTAATAAGCTGTTGCTACTAAATGTTATTTGTGGCGATGTAGTCGCCACTAAAATGCCATGTATTGTGGCGACATGAACTTTTCTACTTTCTAATTCAAATTTTATTAATAATAATTTCTTATTTAAATATACATAAATATCATACCAATTTATTGAAAACTTCTAATAGTTATTTTATAGAGATATTTAAATAAATATAACTCTAATTAAATAGACAAAATATATTAATATATATAATAAAGTTATTATAAGTATTTATTAAATGAAACACTTTGAGTACTAAAGAAACTTATTTAGGGATATATTTGATTACTTTGACTGAAAATAAAATTCATTTATCACAATAATAATTAAGGATTTAAAATAATTAATGATATAGAATAAAAACTCGAAAAATCATAAAGTTGACCAAATAAAAAAGTTCAACTTTTTGATTTGCATATTTAACTTATAAAAATAATAAAATCATTTTTGAAAATATCTTTTAGATATATCTAATATAGGGAAAAAGTGCAAATATACCCCTCAATTTTGTGATTTACAGAGGATATATCCTTTGTTAATAAAGTGATGCATACTTACCCTTGTCGTCTAACTAATGAGACATACATAATTACCTTTTTCGTTAACAAACTTAATTAAAAAAAGTATTTCCTAAAACTGATTTTTTTTAATTTTCAAAAATGTCAAGGGGCTTAATTTTTTTTAGCTCATTCGTGTTTTACCCTTCAAACCCACACAAACCTAATCCAACTAAAAATACCTTAATTCATTTGTTATTTAGACCTGACCCAAATATATTTTATGACTAAATAGAAAGGAATTGATTTATTTATTTTTTGTTTCAATCGGGTTTAATTTGAAGCGGTAAAAAAATAATAAGGTTAATTTTTTAAAGTCACGTAATATTTTTGAAATTAAAAAACCACTATCTTCTTTTACTTCGATAAATATAAATTTGTGAATAAAAAAATTAAATATACATTATTTTTCAAAACCACTTAGGGGCATATTTACTCGAAATATGAATATATTTATTCATTTTCCCTGTAATATATGAACCATTCATTAATTTATAACTTAAACATTGTATTTGTTTATTGGGGGTCTAGGGTTTTTAATTAAAGGTTCTGCTGAGAGATTGAGAGTTGAGAAGCGAGAGAGATTGAGATTGAGATTAAGAGTTGAGACGCGAGAGTGATCGAAAGGTTGCCTGGAGCGTCCACTGTTGGCATCACGCTTGTTGCCATCGATTGCCACTACTCATTTGTCTTCCTCGTCTTCATGTAAGTTCTGTCTTTTTTCATCTATACAAGCCATAAATGAATTGAGACTAGTTCAAAACTTGATTTTTGTTGGTTGAACATGTGATTTCGATTATTAGTCTCTATATTTGAAGTTCTTAAATCAAACAGAGAGTAACATTGAAGGTGAAATTTATTGTTGGCTCTGTACGTAAATGAACCTAATTTCCTTATATTCAAAGCATAAGAATCACCTTAAGTTAGATATTATTTTAGCACCAAGTCCAATTATTTGGAAATAGACTTTTGTGGTTAGAGACCATTAATTAGCAATACAAGTAGGGTGAGATTTATTGAAGATATACTATTTAAAAAAATTGTTTGATACTAAGATTTGAGGTCTATGAATGAAAATGAGAGAGTACTAGAAAAAGAATAAACAATTAAAAGCAGTGAAAGTTTGAAATTTTGGATAGTTTTATGTATTGAGGGCAGTGAAAGGTGAAATTTTGATAAAAAAAAGTTTTTTACAACTAAGCACTTGTACAAAAATGTTTAGAAAGTTTGATATACCTATTTAATATAATACACAATTTTAGTCTATTTGCTTTAACTCTATGAGTTATATTAATTTTATCTTATGATTTCAGTGGAATTGGACAACTACTTGGTTGATTCTTTTGTTTAGCTATTGCAGGAGCTCTTTTGAGTTGTGGTATGCAACTTTTTGGTTCTTTCAGTCCAGTTAGTATTACACTATCAAACACTATCATTTCAATTTTTGAGAATCTAGGGAGTTTTAAAACTAGTTGTCAATTCGCAAATTGTTTCTGTGTGAGATGCTGCCTTCCTTTTATTGTGTTATTTCTCTTTGGCTAGATTGTTTTGTATCCTATCTTTCCTTTTTTTGTGATATACTTATAGACTAATGAATTAATTGGGAACATGCTATTTTTTCATTTCAAGTCCCATGCTTCACTTATAATTTTGATAATTGAAACTACACTTTCTACTTTTAAATCTGGCTAGATAGCTCCATTTGTTGAATTAGGTAGTTGTAGGAGTATAGTGATACATTCTTGTATATCTCTCTAAAATAGAAGTTTGTTGAGATTATTTAAAATACTATATGTTAAGTAGATATTATAATAAGGAAAATAATGTGAGATATGTTTCCTTGCATAACAAAACTTTTATGGTTGCGAAGAACTACATCTTTTGTACGCAGGTTATACAACTTTATAATTGTTGTAGTTTCATGCCCTGCTGCATTTGATCATGCTCGCAATTACCTTAATGAAGTGCAACATGTAGGAAGTTTAATTTCTTGTTCCAGTAACACTTTTCCGCTCTGTTTGGACAAATTCTTTGTATCATGAATTGCAGAATGTAAGTTTGAAAGAGTGTCTTATGGTGGTATCTACATAACTAGTTGGACTATAAATACTACCTATTTGTGCTATGGTGGTATCTATAGATAGGTGGACAATAAATAAGACTCCCTCCATGTCAATTTGTTTATCTTGCTTAGATCTGTTTAAAAAATAATGCCTTTCTTCATTCAGTCATTCTTTACACCTAATATCGTACACGGTATATTTAAGACCATGAAATTCAAAAGGAATTTTAGTACATTACACATATTTAGTTCATCACCACAAGATTCAAAAGAATTCTTATTTGTGTCCTTGCGTAACAAAACTTTTAAGTTTGTGAAGAACTATATCTATTTTTATGCAGTTTATACAACTTTATAATTGTTGTTGTTTTGCTCTGTGACTTTTAAAAAAATAATGAAATACTATTTCATACTAATTTTCTTTGAGCTCTTTATTAACTCACTAACTTAAAGGGAGCTTAAGTAAATCTAAGTGTGTTCTTCTCTATCTGAGACAACATTATTGTTGTTGTCGCCCACTTAGTCACTTATATGATGTTCTTTTATAAGCTAAAACGGTATACTCTTATCATTTTACGCAATTTATATTTGTATGAGTTTCTTTCTATGTGGAAGATAAGGTCATGTAGAGTGCTGACGAATGATCCATTTACTTTCTTAAAAGTTTTTTGGATTATTCTATTCAAATATTATCGTGGTCACCCCTTATTCTATTCTCATTATAGATTACGAGAATGATTCTATGTTTTTTCTTAATAATAGGGACAATTATGTTAAACAATCACAAATGACGTGATTAAGGAGGAATGCGAAGACACTACATCTGTTGCTTTTTAAATTTTATGTAAGTGCATAAAATATACAATATCATATTGTGTAGTACGAGTATATTTAACTGGCTTTTTAGTGGTAGAACTGTTTAAAATATTCGAGATGTGGTGTATTTTGTTGTGTTCTCTGTAATGATATTGGTTGTTTTGCTATTGATATGAAATTGAAATAATATAAATATATATATAATTTTTTTTTGTTAGAAAAAATTGGTATTAGTGGCGACTAATGTTGCTACTAAATTAAGGGTGGTAGCGACAATAGCTGATGTTGAAGGTAGAATGATTTGTGGCGACTTATTTTGCCACTAAATCTAAGGCTTTTGCAGCGACAAGGGTTGTTGCTGAAGCTTTAATCGTTATTGTGGCAAAAGAGCTCGCCACTAAAGGTCATACTATAGTGGCAACCCGACCAAATACCTATTTTGCGGTGGCATATTTTGTTACCTTTTGGTGGCGACAATAGTTGCCACAAATAAGGGTATTAAGTGGCGACGCGCTATTATCGTCACAAATAACATTTAGTTATGGAAGTACTTGCCACGGCGCTAATGTCGCCACTGATAATATATAGTGGCGACTTTCTAGCTATCTGTAGCGACATTTGCTGCCACTAAAAATACAGTTTCTTGTAGTGACCGTATGATTCAACTTTAAAATTAACCTATCTCGGGTTTTAGCTCACCTAATGGCACCCCTTGGCTCGCCAAGGGAACTAGGCGACACACCTAGTGGACCCTTGGCTCGCCTAATTTTGCAGAATGCTCCATAATAGAGCCATTCACTTGGGCGATAAGGGGGGCCTTTGGGTGATGCGCCAAGTGGGTTGGTGAGCCCCGACCTAGCTCCCCTAAAATTCCAGTAGCTAGGCCAAGGGGAGGCTACCCACTAGGTGAGGGAGGTTCATTTGGCTTGTCACCAATGGACTTGGGCGAGGTTTCTACCCTATCGCCGAATGGTCTAAAGGAAAAATTATTTTCCTTCATTCTTTCTTGGTAGCTTAGGCCCTTGCCCTCTTCCTAGACTTGTACCCCTTTCTTTTTATCTCTAGTTTAGTCTAAAAATTTCCGGAATGTTACACTAGCCCTCACGTTTAGCTCTAGGGTAGCCTACAAGACTCCGGATTGACAAATACTATGTCTCAAGTTGAAACTATTCTAGTCTAACATGCATGATTATTTTAGGTAAGTAAGCCTTTAACCTAGAATCATTCTATGTGACAGAACCTTTCATCTCCTTAGCATATTAATGTCTAAGTGCGTATATCAAAATATCCTTTGAACAACACAACAACATATCATAATCATAGACACTTCACTCTCAAGGTGTTCATAAAGCATTTACATAGGTTCTATAAGAACATGCATAATCTCATATTTCTATAGTTTAGGTCAAGTGGGTAATGTCCTTCCATAATAACTCTACCTATTAGTCTACCATTATCATACAAGTTTCACTTCTTTAAAGACGTAACATACATAATTCATCATATTGGCTTTACTTTCAAAACCCTAGTACTCAACACTCATGACTACAGACCTTACTCTCAAAGCTTTACTTCTCACAATTGTCATACATACCTAGATTACAAGGTATTCGAATCACATGCTTCATTCTTAAGTGAATCTACTCATAAATTATCATAAAGGTTCAACTTCAAGCCTTACTAGTCATGACCCATCATATATACTATATTCTAATTCAATTCATGACTACTTGTTTTTATTCTTGAACAATTACTATAGACAATCATCATTTCTAGAAGATCATCCCTAAGTCTTCAGTTTCCCTCTATAAGGCACAAACCCACATTACTTCAATGTCATCAATTAAACTAGGGTTAGCCATGGAAAACATGTAATATCTTCATAATAACATAATTCAATAATAAATCAATCATAAACAAGTACTATCCACACAATTGGAATCATACTCAACACTACCCACAATATTGGAAGAAACCCTAGCTAGAATTGGGGTTGATTTTCACAATTGTGGGAAATCTAGGGGACTCAATATATGGAAGAATACATGGATGAATAAGCTATCATACCTTGATTATAAATCCCTTACAAAGCTTGCAACAATGGACGAATTTGACCTAGCTTGAACCCTTCTTCTTCTTTTTGAGTTTTCTAGAGAGAGATTTCTTGGTGGGAATTGGGTTCTTTGGTGAATTGAATATAATGATTTCGATCCTTGTATTTAGGGGTCTCTTATCTTTATATAGGCCGTCTAATTACTAATAAACTGACACTACTTAGTAACTAATTAATTCTAGAACCTTCTCTTAACCCCTAACTTAAATAACTTAAGACCATCACTGCCACAACCCACGATACCCCGACCCATGGGACGTGAGTGGACCCACGGTCTATGCTGGTAATCCATGGATGGGGTACTTGAACATGTTTTGAACCTCTTGACCCACGACCCCTCACCCACAGGGCATGGGTCACCCTACGGGGCCCTTGGGGCAGATTTTAGGGTGGTTTGTTAGGGTCTTCCTCAAGGAACCTTGGTTGGTCCTTGGGGAGTTTTACCTTGACGTTTAACCCCTAAATCCCTCATACTAAGTACGGGAAGTCTTTTCTAGGACTCTAACCCTCACGTAAAACTCTAGAACCCTCATATAAGGCTCTAGTTTAGCCTACTAGTTTTCGGGTCAACCCTGGTTTCATTCACTTATCAATACCACCTTAGCAACAACACTCTATTAATTGTAAATATGGATTTTGTTTAACAACATTGGTTACTTGAACTTTACAAATAAACCTAGTTTACATTCCACAATTACTCACTTTAGGAAATAATAACAACATTTGGATAAACGCGACAGTGAAATCATTTATGTGAAGAAACTCTCTGTGGGATCGACCTCAACTCACATTGAGTTAATTTTATTTTGTAGTGCTATATTGTTTGTATTGAACTATGCCCATGAGTTAGATTTTAGAACTTATGTCTAAAAAATGATGATATTTAGTGTCTTGATTAATTGTTGAAATTTAATTTAAAATATTGATAGGTCTTGATTGAATTTTGTGTGGGCAAAGTATGATTAGCCCAATATCGACCCAATTGCATAAATTTTCCCAATGATAGATGGAGTGACGACTTTCTTTAGGCTAAATCATCAATTTAAGCAATACTTTTGTGATATTTGGGGAGGAATCTGAGTACCCATGGGTCGAAAAAATTGAGGGTATATTGTTAAGTTGATAGGGAACTATATATTATTGTGTATGCTGGTTTACTTTGTGAAAATAGGCACTAGGATGAACACCACATGTTCGGCAAGCTTGTCTTAGCTCGCCAAGGTGGTTAGGAGAATCATCGAGTAAGCCCTAGATTGGCTTCTTTAGTGAATATGTGACCTGGGGTATTGTCCCGTTCGGTGGACTTTTCTGAGTCCGCTGAAACCCACTTGGCGTATTGCCAAGTTGGAGTGGGCATCGCCCTTCATGTATGTTCTATTTCATTTTGCACTGTTAGTTTTGGCAGACATGACTTAGCCCGCTGAAACAAACTTGGAGTTTTAATTAACTCCACCCATCATGCTTTAGTTCTTTGAAATTATGTAGTGTCTAGTTTAGAGAGGTCACCTAATATCACCTAATATGTTAGGCAGACCGTCTTCACATTAGGCAAGCCTCAGAACATCGTTGATCTATGCTGTAATTGGATATTGATTTTAACTAACCTTCACCAATTCAATGTTTTAATTATTGTGCTTTGCAGATTATTACTACAAAAAAGGAAAAACATGTTGTGATTATTTCTTACGGAATCAATAGAGACTCTCCTCCTACTCCCTCCACTGAAAAATCAAAAGGGGTAGTAATAAACGAGCCTCTCCAACAAAGAACAACTTCACGCTCCTCGAAACTTTTGAATGAGTAACCAAGAAGAGGGGTTGCCAGGAATAGGACCAACATGAGGTTTAATTAGTACAACCTTCCAAGGATAAGGCACCCATGTCTAGAGTTTTCCCGGTAAAAGCTCTAAGAGCCCTAAAATGGCTAAAAAGTCCAGGAGAATGAGCATTTTTGGAGTAGCGAAAACTCTCTATTGATGGGTTGGTTAGTGAATATCTGGCCATTTGGGACATGATCAAATTCCACGAGTTCGAAAGGATCACAAGACCTCAACCTCCATATTTCCCATCTTGGGTGCAAGAGTATTACACGGCCTATGCTCAGGCCTTACAAAAGAAGAGGAAGGGCATGATTTTGAAGCCCTTTGACGAAGTTCAGATACGATGTAAGATTGTACAATGCCACACGAGCGCAATCAACACGGCCCTAGGTGCTCTTTCAAATCAGAGTGATATGTTCACAAAACAGATGCACCATTAGCATGACGCTCTAAAACATTGGTTGGCACCACTGATATCCAATATTTCTCTACCTAGGATGGCTGACGGTGTGAGACTAGAGAAGAAGGATCTAAATTTTGGGCCACGATACTAGTTCGGGTTCATTAGCATTAATATCATGCTTTTGTAGAATGAATTCATCCTTCGGCATCCCAAGGGGGTGTTAGTGGGTACCATCATTACCGGGGAGCACATTAATCTAGGGTGGATCATTGTTGACGAGATGTTATTGAGGTCACAAAAGAAGTAGACCTCTTTACCTTTCCCAGTCCTAATCACACAGTTGTGTGAGGATGCTGGGTTCCCTTTCGGGGGAAGACAAATGTTAGGATCACCCTAGACTCTTCCAACCGCATTAGTAGTTCACTAGGAGTAAGAATTACCCTGATGAAGGCTATGAATTCAATGGAAACCCCAACGATGTACACAAAATATGCTACCTAATCAAAACTGACATTCCAGAGTTAACAAAACAACAAAGCAATCAATGGTGGTCCTCTCATCAAAATGTTGACCCAAGTAAATACTTACAAAGAAATATCAAAAAACATGCGAAAAGCCACAGACTCATTTTGAATACCTTGGGAATCGAATAAAAAATCATTAGGCTTTCCTGAGCTAACTGCACTGATAGAATTTCCAACCATCCCACTAGACCAAAATGACCCTTCCAGAGTTGATGAAACTCATGGAATCCTTATCAAGTATTAGCTTCTCCAGATTTTGACTAAAGTCAAGCCTTTCACTCTAAAAGTCTCTAAAAGGGAAAAACAAACTCAGAACTCTCCTGACAACCTCAAGAAGCATGCTACCAAACCTAACACCACACA